CTTCATGCCTTTAGGCCATGTCGGGGCAGGCCAGGTCAGGTCAACCAGGTCAACCAGTACTTATGGGCGTCCGTGTAGCAGGTGTCCGACTACCACTGGCAGCTACGTAACATGATACGAAGGCATCAAAACTACTTCGTAAATGTTCAAATGGTTGCTAAATGCTAAATTCAAAATCAGCTAAACGAAACTATCCTAGAAACATGTTAAACTCGGAAAAGTGCACCGAGGTCATCAAAGGTCAATGACCTGACTTGACCCTAAGGTGACATTGACACCTACCACAATGGTTGGGACCAACATCATTTCACATGTTTGAGCGTTTTAAACCACGAAAAGACTGTAAACGAGCGGATAATGTGAGCCGACATACGCGGAATCGCGATTCCGGCCAAACATGGCCTCAAACATAGCCAAACATATGGTGCGTTCGGAGAGGCACATTCCACGTGGAATCCGTGGAATACTCCATGCGCGCGGAACATTCCCGGAGATTGGCCGTTCAGAGAGATACGCCTCCGAACGCGGCACGGGGAATATTCCAGGGGACGGTGAATATTCCATGCTCTCCGAACGCACAGATAGTCTCGAGAAATAGGCCACAGGTCAAAGGTCACTTGGGTCAGGGTCATGAAATTTTCAGACTTTGTCAACATGAGGGTGCTAAAGTTTCGTCGCGATCGGATTCATGATAACTTACACGATAACTTCATGGGTCGATCGAGAGGTAAAGTATGCAATAAGAACTTCTTGGGTGAAGACGATACCAACACTCAAACTCACATATTTTTAATGATACGGTAGTTTCTACCTACTACGCTACTTTCTCACATTCATATTTCTTAACCCGCGCCCTGCTGGGGGTCCTGGATTTCCACGCCCTGCTGGGGGGGGGGAGTGTTTGAACACCCCCCGCTTGTAACTCGGCTCCTGGGCCCCGTAGCGATACGCGGAAGGCGGCGTTCGAAAGAGCGTCAAAAATAATGACGAAATCACTTCGGTCAATTTTTTGGTCAGGTCAAAGGTCAGGTCACCAGAGGTCATTGAAGGCAAAATTTCGCCGATTTCCAGGTCGAATGTCGAAAACTTCCAAGAAGCCAACGCATAACTCGGGAACCAATAGAGCTACAGCGCCGCGGAAAAGCGCATTCGATAGCCCTATTAACGCCCTTTCTGATTAATTCTCTCAGATTTGACCTAACGTCAACGGTTTTGCCTCCAGGGGACAAAAACTGCAAAAATAGACGATTTTTTCGAAAACAGTTTTTCTGCAATAACTTTTGACCCAAGGCTTGTACGAGCTTACTTTTACCGGCATCGTGTTCCTCTCGTCAAGACGCATCGAATGAACTATAACTTGACCTTGAAAGGTCAACTTGAAAATTTGACCTCAGGTCAAGGTCATGACCTGACCGGAAAGGGTCATGTTGCATATCAGTCGATCCGTATCGTCGAGCTGAACACATCTAAGGCGTTTTCATCGCTCTAGCATGCCTCTATCAAAAGTTATTTGCGAAAAACTGTTAGATACCATTCGTGACCTAAGATGACCTCAGGGCATAAACAGGGGTCACGGACACCATTTTCATGTTCAGTGTGTCTAAACCACTTGTAATTCAGTGTTTGGGAGTGTTTATAATGTCTTGCATCCAAAAGAGGCGCATTTCAATTTTCTCCCATTGGCTTATAATGGCGAGGTCGCAAAATTGACCTGACCTTAGGTCATCGATATCAAAATTCTGAGATATACATTTTGTACATGCTATTGCCTTTAGCAATCGCTGAAAGTTTCAAAGCGATCGGTCTCTCGGTGTAGCTATGACAGACATTGAAAGTTTTTATGAGGTGAGGTCACTTCAAGTGACCTGGTGACCTGACCTTGAATGACCTTGGTCTGAACTTTTTACAACATGTGTAGAATTGATGTATGATAAGGTGTACCAAAAACGGCGGCGCTCCGCGCCGCCGTTTTTGAGATATTCGCTAAAAACCACAAGGGGGGTGTTCAAACACCCCCCCCCCCAGCAGGGCGCGGGTTAAAGGAAATAGTTCACTTTTAACATGGGGTTTGGAACTGGAATAGCAGTTTTGTTGCTTGCGCTGAGACTAGCACAAATCAGAAGCTTTTACGGTCCAACGATCACCCTAGACGAAGATATTCCATTTTTCGTTCCGAAAAGAGTGCCTTGCAGAGGAATGCGTGCCTTGCTGAGGAATGCAGTCACGTCATCGTCAGCCAATCAGAATGCTGCTTACAGCCGATGGGTTTGTCCTACGCAATATGATTGGTCAACGCGTAATAAGCTTCCGCGTCAAACATTATTTTATATAGAATATAGTTCTTCTTATACTAAAATATAGAAAATAATCCTTTTTACAAAAACGTTTGGTTTTATTTTCTGATCGTTTTGAGCATAAAAAACATAAATGCATAGCAAAATACTAATTTCAGGAAAGTGAACTATTTCCTTTAAGTGTTTTTGGGGGCCAAAATACATGTTGCCCCCTTTCAGGCTTGGGGGCATGACCCCGTGGCCCCCCTGGATCCGCTAGGCCGAAACTAACTAGGCCGTTTTCAAACGGTCTGATATTTCAGGTCATGGTTTGCAAACGGCCGGTGTTTTCAGGCTGTTTCATATGCCCTACTGGGCCAGGCCGTTTGCAAACGGACAATTTTCATACGGCCTGTAACATATATTCATATTTCACCATCTGTCGCAGCATCAAATGCTGATGTGGTGCACTCAAAAGCCGGAATTGGTCCTTGGATGCCGTAAGGACCCTTTTAAGAAATAAGTGACCCGACTGACCCCTTAGAGATTGGCCTGAGCTCTGACCGAAATAAGTCTTTTACCGTTTCACGGGAAGGGACAAAAAGGTCCCTGATATGCTTCTTGTACAATTACCAAACAAAACAAGCTTTTCAACGCCAACTCAGTGAGTGTTCCTAAAAAAATTATTGCGCATATTCCGTGAATGAAAAATTGCCGGGTCATGTCAGGTCAGGCTGCCAGAGCAAGTTTGTTAACTTGACAGTTCAATCGATATGTATGCAATAAGACCTTCTCGGGTGACGACAAGACATGACGACACTTTATGAAGGAAGCTAGTAAACCCGGTGGTTTCTCCATAGGCACGGGAACCGGGGCAGTGGGGACAGCTTGCCCACCCCCCAACTATGGGGCCGTGGGGGCGGTGCCCCCACAACTTTCAGACGGGATACCCCATTTTTTTGCAAATGTTTTCTTTTTTTGTTGAAAAAAGCTAAGGGATGAAAAATAAGTGGCCTAAAACCACCGGTGAGAAAACTATATTTGGGGAGACCCTAGGTTGATCTCTATTATGGTGTGCCCCCCCCCCCCCCCCAGTCTGAAAGTAGTTCCCGCACCCCTGAGTTTCTCTACGCTATTGAATCACGCCGGTGATTCTAACTTTTAGGTATCTACTACGCAACCTTCTCACATTAATTTTTCTTCAAGCGTTTTCGGAGGGGGGCCAAAAGATATGTTGGCCCCCCTTTCAGGCTTTTGGGGGGCCATGGCCCCGGTGCCCCCTCCCTGAATCCACCAGTGGGGGGCGGTGCCACCACAACTTTCAGACGGAATACCGCCCTTTTTGCAAATGTTTTCTTTTTTTGTTGAAAAAGCCAAGAGATGAAAAATAAGTGGCCTAAAACCGGTGAGAAACTAGATTTGGGGGGACCCCAGGTTGATCTCTATTATGGTGTGCCCCCCCCCCCCAGTCTGAAAGTAGTTCCCGCACCCCTGACTTTCTCTACGCTATTGAATCACGCTGCTGATTCTAGTAGGTATCTACTACGCAACCATCTCACATTAATTTTTCTTCAAGCGTTTTTGGGGGGGGGGGCCAAAAGATATGTTGGCCCCCCCTTTCAGGCTTTTGGGGGGGGGGCATGGCCCCGGTGGCCCCCCCCCCCCCCTGGATCCGCCAGTGCACAGCACATAACACAGATACTTTATACAGCGATCGGAGCACTGGTTAGGTCTTAGGGTATTTGGCTGGCTAGGCTAGAAATGGGAGCGGAAGTCCGAGTACGCATCTTCAAACAGGAAGATTACAGTTGCCAGGTGAACTGATTTCAAAAGTGTATCAGAATAACGATCAATGCTCGAGTGCACCGAGCACGCGTCATTTGTCGTAGCGAGGGGTGGCGCTCCGAGTATGGAGACCAGGAGCCACCCTGACGTGACGGGGGGGGGGGGAGGGGCGACTGCCTCACCATTGACCCTTTGACCCTCTACCGACCCTCTGCTCGGTTGGGCATTGGGAAAGGGGGTAAGCTGCCCCTTATGACCTTGTGTGGTCCCTATAGCATCAGTCAGTAGCTGCAGTAGTAGCTGTTAAGGACCGAGCTGGTAGAGAGAGAGAGAGAGAGAGAGAGAGAGAGAGAGAGAGAGGGGGGAGAGGGAGAGAGAGAGGTGTTCCTGTGTCTATGTGAATTGTGGCTCTGCTCGGATCGGACAGCTGTGCAGGGGATGGTGAGGGTTAAGGGGAACTGACCCCACCCCAGTCCCAACACTCAGGTCGGTACAGGATAGGTGGGGGGGGGGGGGGGTAGCTGGCCCAGCTCTCAACTCGGTACAGGACAGGACGGAGGGAAGAGCGGCTCCTGTAGCTCCCTTCTCGATACAGGACGTGAAACTGTGCCAGGGAGCCCGTCGAGGAACGAGTCATTCTCAACCGGTATAAGAAAGAAGCGAGGGCAAAAAAAGAGAGATGCCAAGGACATAGGGACACAGCATGTCAAAAGATGACTGAATAAGTACAGTGCAGGAGCCGATATTAATCGAGAACCGTATCTCATGATGACTTTCCGTGCTAAGTAGCACTGCTATTCAATAGGAACTTCTGGTAGCTAAATGAGCGTACAATGGAGCGATTAATAAGGCAGTACATCCGGGGCGATCGGGAGCTCCTCAGGACTCCCGTAGCTGGGTTTGCCGGGGAGTGGGGAGGGCTGCGCGGGGCAGCGGACTGACCTGCCACCAGCGCCGGCAGCAGCAGACACAGACAGCCGAAGGTGGCCAGCGGCCGGCGCGGCACCGCACCCATCTCAGCCGCCGCCGCACCCGTCTCAGCACCAGCGCTCGCCGCGCGACCCGCACCCTGACCGCATCGTCGGCACCGACGCACTGCCGACGGTATCGACGCGCCGGCGATCGAACCGGCCCCGGAGGCCAGAGTCCTCTGTGGGCGGCGCCGGCACCAGCGGCTGAGCCGCCCTCCGCCAGGGGCACCGACACACTCAGCTGAGAGCGCGGCGACAGCTCGCAGCTCGGCAAATTGACCGAACAACGGCCGACACAAAATTGAGTTAACAAACTTTAAATCGGTAGCTTGGTGCAGTTGCCAAATATAATTGAATTGGCACTGCCATTGTCAAACAATGACAGTCGCCGGCCCATGTCCCAGGTCAACAGGAGAGGCACTTACCTACGGCCGCACGAATAGACGACCTCGAGCCCCCCCCCCCCCCCCCGACAGCCGGCGGCGGGGCGGCGGTCACCTGACTCTCCTGTCATTGGTTAGGACTGCGGACAACCGCGACGGGCCGCAGGATTAGCGCCGCAGTGGGCCGTGGGTCAAAGGAAACCGCTTGAATGCATCATTTTATCCCTATAGTTACGCAACTTCACCAAAAAGTCTGCATTTAACGGGAACTTATTGGCACATGTAAAGGCCTGCATGACAAGTGTCGTCCGTGTTTCAATTATTTTGTGTGTAGCGCCGGACCGCACGAACAGCGCGCGGTCACCGTCCGGCACCGCGTGCCCCCTGACCCCAGCTGGCCTCTGATTGGCCGGCTGAAGGGTCGCGCCGGCCGCCCGCTGACCCCGCGGCTGGCGGCGGGGGAGGGGAGGGGAAGGGGAGGGAGGCGGTGACACAGGGACGGCGTGGACGTGCCAAACCGAGCAGCAAAGGGCTGGCACCGTGCCAGCAGCGCGGCGGACCAGTGCAGCCGCGAGACGAGGACTCCTCTCCGCGGTGATGGCTCAAAAGTGGTGCATGCATAACAAATAGTTACCAGTATGGAACGGTGTCACTGCAACCTCACGCATCCGCAGCCAACAGAATTGCCCATTTCCATTCCATAAACTTCCCGTTTTAGATAGCAGTTCAAAATGTAATTGTCTTGCAATTTCCTTTCATTTTTCAGTCGCAACATCTCGCTACCCGAATTTGAGCCTTGCTGGGTAGCGATCAGCTGTAAATCGGATGCTGAATCCGTGGCTTGATCCGTGGTTTACCAATGACAAAAAGATACCTCACCGGTGTTCACTATCACACAAATTCCTCGAGATTTGAGCATTGCCACTTCATTACAACTCCTAAAACTCGGTAAGTTTTTTTTTTGCATTTTCATTCGTTGTTTGTTTCAGTTACAAGAAAATGCCCTACCTCTCGCTCCCTCTCTCTCTCTCGCGGCTCCTCTGCTCTGCCGTCACGTGGTTCTCCCGCTGGCCGCGGGGCCCGCACAGGGCGGCTATTTTTACGCCAGCAGGGGCGCGCCGCCGACGGACAGCGCACAGTGCGGCCGTCGGCGCCGCGCCCCAGCCGCACGCCGGATGTTTTAACGTGGTCGAGAGAGTCGCCAGGCGTGCGCTCGGAGGGGGGGGGGAGGGGCTCTAGTATGAATGAGCATATGAGTCTCGTAACAAAGTTGCTTAAAATTCGATCTGTTATTCGACCCTATTAGTGGCAGGCTCCTGGCTACCCCTATTAGTGAAAGGGGGACTGTTGAGTTGACCCCCTTGATAACTTGAGAATTAATGAGCCGATTTTCAAAATTCAAACGACATTCGATTCCACTCAAAGTGATCAACATATTTCAAAAATGAGAATTCAAAAAATGCAAAATGGGGATCGTAGACTCGTAGGGGGTAAAAACTGCAAATTGAGGACATTTTAACTCCTTACCACGGCTAGGTTTCTGGACCAATTTTGAAATAACTTTTGCCGATTGTTGCAGAATGAGCCAGAAATTTACATATATAATAAAAATGAGCATTTGGAAAAATCATAGGCGGATAAAGGTCATTGAAGCTGGGGATGCACAAAATACATGAATTGGGGTTTTCTTTGTACTGTCACTAAAGCAGATGGGCGGTTGGTTCTGTTATATTACAATGTGTACCAGCTGGCCGTCGTGAAAACGGCTAATGCATATGGAAATGAGCCCCCTTTTTGGATGCCGGCTAAATCCGCCTATTATAGGAAACACGTATTAAAGGAAGATGCACAATCAGTGTGTATATGCTATCACATGCCGACATGTTTCAGTCGCTGTTCACAAAACTGGTGCACACAGTTACCTATAATGCATCAGCATCGTGATGTTCACCCTAAACACTCACTTTACGAATAGGACCTCCCGATTTCCGATGACCTGGGCTGGAACCACCCCTTTTGCAGTTATCAACTTGAAATTTTCAGGGAATATGCCCAGTTTAGTTACAGGAGATATAGGAAAAGTCAGGCAATTTCATCATCTTAGCTCCAGCCGTGTCAGAGACATCAGATATTTCTAGAAAACCGGAGGGGTGGATGAAAACAACCGCCGCCTGCCACTAATAGGGTTAGTTCACTCCATCGGAAAAATTTATTGATATGGAAAGTGGAAACTTTGGTTGACTCGGGTAGGATAGGTATAGCTTGGTCTTTGACTTGACCTAAAAATGGCTAGATATGCTTTTTTATTAAATGTGATAACACCTAGAACACTGCTTACTGTTCTCCGCTGCGTGGCCCAGGAGCTTAGCTATATAGAATATGTCGCAAAATGCCCCTTCCCGGCCAGATACATTATGATCAGATCACCAGCCTCTTGTTAGTACATAAATGACATACCATCATATGTGTCAGCTTACGTATCGGTATAGTCACCACAGATAACAGTACCTAATAGTCATTTTTCACGGTGTATTTACCTTTTGTCACATCCACGTGAACTTGCAGAAATCATGTGACGTTTAAATTCACATCGGATGCTCCAATGTAAAATTGATCGCAAAACATTTCAGTGGTAGCGTCATGCCATCCCGCCCATGTATAAGCGAAATTCGCGGACTTTTGCCGGAGGATGGCAGTCGAGTGTTGCAATTTGCATTGTGCTGGCGTCATTGGCATTTGCGTCATTCATCTGAGGATATTGGTGTTTGCTGAGCTTGGACTTTGTCAGAGTTCCATGAACTTCTGGTCCAGTGGGAGGCTCCTTCGAGAACGTTATTTGAGTAAGTGTCTAGGATTACTTCTGCATGTCAGATATCCTTAGGATTCCCACTAACTAGATCATAACGTAACTACCTACCTTGTTCAAAGATGTTCCATCTCCGAGGAAGCACTGCCGAATTAGGATGGATTTGTCATCAACAGCATGAGATAGGTGGAATCAGCATGCATATTGCATATATGGCCATTAACCCTCGCGGGCCCGGGGGGGGCGTTTTTCGCCCCCCCCCTGGCGAATATTTGCGATAACTCCCGAACGCTTAGGGATAGGAAAGCGAAACTTTCAGTACCTTTTCTCCCATCAATTTGACATCTTCTGAAGTAAAAAATTTGGACCTAGCCCCCTTGATGACGTCACAAGGTCCATTTTTCTAGACCCCTGCACGGCAAACTTCGGCGTCACAGACGCAAACTTCAAATAGCTGCTAAAAATAGAGTTTTAGAGATAAAGACAAATTACGAGCACAGCTGTGTAGCGTTTAACCTAAAGAAAAATAGAAAAATAGTTTTGGTGACCTGAGGTCAGAGGTCAGGTCAACGACCCCGAAATGTGGTTTTAGTTTTTCGCAAATAACTTCGACAAAAATGGTCCTAGAGCTACGGCAGTGGTACCATCGCATTCGCCTTGTCAAGCCGCGTCGAATGATATATATTTTGTTCGGAAAAGGTCAAGTTTCATGTTGACCTCATGTGACCTCGAATGACCTCTGGTTGACCTTGACACATGAAAGGTCGTTTATGATGGATTTGTACCCGCTGATCACGAATCTGGCATCTATTTTCTTCTAAGCCTTCATTTAGAGCTTCCGGATGGCAAAATTGTCTTATTTATTATTACTAACTTGAATCAGTGAAATAGCCTCTAACAGGGATACTCTTCTGTGACCTTGACCTTTGAGCAGCCTTGTATGGTAAGATGAACCACAAATAGGGAACTGATAAGCCTCAAAACATTTCAAAACATCTTGGAAGTTAGCACGCAAGATGTGCGAAAAAGTGCCAAGTTTGAGGTCAATTTTGAGCGTGACCTTGACCTTGACCTTTGATTTGGAGCACATTTTCAGAATCCTCAGATTCTCTTCTTTCGTTTGACACCCAATTTTGCCGGTTTGATGCAGCCTGCCGTCCTCTAGAAGGCTTACTTTGAGATCACTACACTTGTGCCGGTTTTGGCCTTTGACCTTGACCTCTGACCTTGAAAATTGACCTGAGGTCAAAAATTTTAGGTGCATTAGAATTGTCTCGTAAGGACCTTTCGTTTGGTATCGCTTTTGTTTCCGTAGCTCCCTTATTTACGGAGTTAGACAGGGGGGGGGCGAAAAACGCCCCCCCCCGGGCTGCGGTGGTTGGGATTACCCCCCGGGCCCGGCCGGGTTAAGAAATGTGCGCATTGAAGGCAAGACCAAGGGGCAAGAACATGCTACCGTTCACATAAACTGTTAGCGGGGCGGGATATAGTGACCTTGCAGGCGTTTCTCCGCAACATCCTATACCAGGCTGTAAAAACGCGCGTTTATATTTTTTCGCACCGTCTGCTTTAACACATACCATTTAAAAGCTAAGACGATATTCCTTACCGGCTTGGTCAGTATTTTTTCACCTTATTTCATTTTTTATCTCATTTATTTTATTTCATGATATCTATATGTTTTATGACATATCATCACGCGCACCGACGGGGGGCGGATATCCACCTCCCCCCCTGAGGTTTTTCACAAATAGCGGGAAAACCGCGGCGCGTAGCGCCGCGAAATTTGGTACGACTATTTCCTTATCAATTTTACACATGGTGTGCAAGTTTGAACCTCCTGCCTTTTAAGGTCAGGTCACCAGGTCACTTTGGATGACCCAACCTCAAGTCACTTTTTTGCAACATTGTCACCGTG